GTACGAGACGCTGGATGCGAACGAATCGGCATGCTCGGCTATCTTTTACGACACGCTCGAGAACAAGCCGTCCATAAGGCTCCGCCAGTTCTTTTTCAAGCTTCTCGGCCGCTACGACCGTCGCAAGTTCATCCCGACGTTTGCCGCCCGCCTAGAGCGCTGCAATGCCCAAGACAAGGACGTGATGACCTCGATTCTAACCAAAAATGATCCAGCAGGGCCTTCTGAGGGCTTGCACTCTAACCTCCTCCAAGACACCATCGTGTACTCCGAAGTGTGGCAAGTGCCCACGCCGTCAATGGAGGACATCGTGCAGCAGTTCTTCGCGTCGCCTATGGCCCTGAACGACCCGGACAGAGTCGGGTGCTACTGCCTCTTCACGGGCACCAACTCGTCCGAGTGCGCGCCGTGGGTCGATATGAACGTCCCCCCCTGGACATACACCCCGGACAAGTACTTCAACAAAACCGCAGCCATTCCCATCGGGGTGTCTGTGCTCGGTCTCACGGGCAACTTGGACCCCGTGACCACGTCAAAGCATGCCCGACGACACTTTAACAACATGAAAGGCGACAACAAGAAACTGGTTGAGTTCCCCGTGGCAGTGCATGGCGTCATTGGGAACACCCCCATGTCGGACAACCACACTGATCCCCACTGCGGCTTGCTTGTGGTCGCCGATTTCCTTCTCGCCAACGGCGCGCTGGACGCGATAAACTTGACCTGCATGGACAAGGTGCAGCCTCTCAATTTCGACATCCCGGACGCCTTGGCCCTCGAGCTGTTTGATCTGGACGGCGGTGCCATGGACGGCAAAATACACCCCCCCGCGCAAGGTGCCAAGGACTACAAGTCCAACTATACATCCTCACATGAAGGTGGGCGTGATCGTCCTCAGCTTGACAGTCGTCGGCCTCGGGCTCAATGCGCTCCTGAAACATCGTGAAGCCAAAGCGACGCGAGGCAAGTACGCAGTCTACGAAGACGCGTGCACGGGCGGCGCTTCTTGACGAGCCGGAAAGTCGCCTCATTCTCAAGAGAAAGAAACCCCGGCCAGTGCGAGTGCATCGTAGCTGAGTTGTAAATGTGTATAATTGAGTTTGACGTGTAAACCTTCGGGGAGTACAGTATGCATCAGGCCTCGGAAAAATACTATGGAATACTTCAAAGCAGTAGGTAAGGTGTTTGTACCTACACTGTAGTATGTACTACTTACGACGTAAAACACAATACATTCGATATGTGCTTG